TTATGAGCTTTGATTAACATAGGTGTTTGTTTAGGCAATGCTTTCGAGTACCCATAAGTGGTCAGGTAGATCGAAATTATCATATGTGACACTTTTTGAGCTAAGGTCCATGTGGAAATTGAGTCATTTCTCCATATTGATTGTCCAATCATCTTGGAGTTATTTTCCTGGGCTGATCATTTCCTCATGTGTGCTCCACTGTCCCTTTTTCTTTTATTTTTTTAATGTTACCATAAATAGTAGACAGTGGGATGTTTGTTCGGCAATGAATTTCTGGCCATTGTGAATGCCCTTGTTCTACAAATGTAATATGCATTTGATGTTGCATTTCTTGCTTAGAAGCAGGCATTGTGTTTGTACATAAAGCAAAAAGTACACTAAGGGTCAGGGTTGTAAACAATGCTCAAATTTACTCCTGATTATCATGTTTATTTTCCATTTTACATCTCTCAAGTTGGACAGAAAACAAACACATGAAATGCATTTATGTTGCATAAAAAAAAATCCAGTTTTTTTTGTTACACCCTGTATATTATTATATTATTTACTTTTCAACTTCATCAAATCAACATTTTACCTTTGATCATAAATTGTCATCCATTATATAATACTGTATATATATATCTGACATTTCCTATAAATAAATAGATAAATTGGTGACATAAATATAAATGAATATATGAATTTTGAAATAAAAAATAAAAATAAATGTAAATATGTAAATATAAAAGAAATATATTTTAAATACATTTTTTAAATTGTATACATCACTCTATAATTACACCATGAGTATATCTGTTATTGTTGTTTAAAAATCCTTCTTGTTTTTTAAATGCATCATTAAAAAATCAAGAAATAATGTTTCTCTAATTAATCAAAATATATAAGTGACCTACTTTCAAAACAATTCTCTTGATAAAGAAAGAAAATAACAGTTAATTCTCAAATCAATACCAAAAACTATTTGTCAGTAAGATTTCCTATTCAATCTGATCTAGATATACACATAAAACGATTTTGTTTGTTATCAATCACCTTTTTTTAAATTTTTTTTTAGAAACCAAGTTATATATATATATGCATGTGTGTTTAAATAATTTTTTCACTATAATAAATAAAATATTAATATATCAAGTTTATATATCAAAAAACTCGATCACAACACAAAAAAAAATAAACAATAATATTTACAAGTGAGAGTTTATCTTCCATCATAGATAGCTTTCTTGCATTTTTCTTTCTCTCCATCTCTTGTCAATAATAATGATGTTGTGATCAAAGAGGATGAACAAGAAGGTATAACATTAATACATGGTCATGGAACTTTATAAAAAGGGTGTTGTCTCAAATATAAAATCCTATATAATAATAATGGTTAATGATAATTTGTTACATTAAATTAAAATGAAGAAATGATTATTTCTGAAATGCTTGTATTGGTAAGATTTAAATAAACATATTATAAAACAAAAATGCATGATTCTGAGCCTAGAATGTCTTACAATATACTTACATTGATCACTAAAGCTTGAAATATAGCTCCTATGTAACCCTTCAAAAGCAACTTAATTATTTGATCATTTTTCACACACATACTGAGAACATAGAAAGCAAAATATACATGTTAAAAAATTACATCTCAGGTTAAACAAGTTTTTGTGCGCAGCCATGAGACTTTTTCTATTCTAAATTCAATTGAAGTCACATGTTTCACAACAGAAAAAAGATCAATGATCGATTTTGTCACATGTGATAAAATGAATGTCCACTATGCTTGCAAATTTATGAATTTTACAGAGAGAAATAGGATTAAGAGTCAATGACACAGTTTGTTGTAAACCTTCCCAAGATTCTAACTCTGTAGTTAAAGATAAATCTCCAGTCATCATCAGATTCAATGTATTGATAGATCAACTCTTCGATTTCTAATCCAGGTTCATTTACATCTAATTCATTCAAAATGTTTGTGTCAATCTAGATTCATTTTCAAACACCTCCTTACCAATATATTCATCTGTAATGTTTTTAATAGTTTCAGTTTAAGCATTTTAACAAAAAAAAAAAAAGAAATAGATTTGAATTAAAATTGTTAAAAATTAGTTCCATAAAAGGAATGATTTTCATAGAAAATTTCACCAGTTGGCACAGCATTTGATGTGTTTAGATGATTGGCACCATAGTGATATAATTCTATATTTGATCAGCATGGTGGACATTCGAAACGTTGCACCAATTTTTTATGCCGTGTAACGTAATTTTAAAGTAAAAAACTGTGTGCTCAATAGCATAATGGACACTGTAAAACAAGCCATTTTATTGGCCAAATTTTGTCGATCTTATTTCAAATCATCACACAA